TAAAGATTATATTTTTATATTTACTTAGCTTAAATGTACGATTGAAATATATCGTTATCATTGAGGTGATATTATCGTTGAGGTGATAGGCCCGTGCGGAGCACGGGCAATTTCATTGAAATTCTGCTACAGCAGCCGTTGGGCCCGAGTATATTTTATAGACTTTAAAATTAATGATAATATTAATTTTAAGAAAAACAAATCTATGATTTTAGTTAAGTACCTATATAGATGATATTATGATTTTGACTAGAAACATAGATATAATAAATAATTATAATAAAGATTATAAATTTTGGAACTAAATTTAAATATTATCTTATTTCTTAAGTACTATAAGTATAATTAAACTATTAGATAATTTAGAAAACTTCCATATAAACTTAGATCGATAAATCTGCTTTATAATCCTTACGAGTAGTAGTTTAAAGCTAGTTATGAGCTACTATGACCTTTTAAGTACCCAATTTCAAATTAATCCTTTAATTTCTAGTCATAGAATCTATTTATTATTATTTATAGCTTATTTAATACAAATCAATATTATAAGTTTTATATATTGGCCTTTATGTTAGTTATATTATATTTTATTTAGAAATATAAATTAGATTTAGGAGTTATTTAAGTCGATAAGCTTTCTAGAAAAGAAGCTTCAAGGCTTTAGTTAAATCTTTACCTAGCTTTAATTCATCTATTTATTGTTTATAAAATCTTCTACTTAGTTATTAATAACTACCTCTATTTATTCTTATCTAAGAAATCTTATATTTTAGAAATTATTTATTTAATCTCTTAACGATACTTTTTATTATAGATCTAGTATCCGCTAATAAGGTTAGAAACTATAAAAGAAAAATAAGGTTAATTAGCTATATAAAATAGTAACAGAGTGATTAATTCTTTATTAGCTATAGATTTAATAGAAATATAACATAGACACTTAGCTAAAGTAAATAAGACTTTTAATAAATTTTAAAAACTAAATAGCAATTCTAAAAAGAAATTTAAGAATTAAGAATAAGAATATAAGAATTGTAAGCTTTATCTAGATATAGTTATGAATTTACTAATCTTTAGAGTAAAATATTATAGCGATAGTATAGTAGAAAAGTAAGTATAAATCTACTTTATAGTAAAACTAAGATAACTATATAACGAAGTAAATAGATATTTTAATAATAATACTAACTAAGCTATATCCTAAGTAGATTTATTACGATTAGATAAATAATCTATAGAAAGTAGTGTATATAGAGATCATATTATGGTAAAGTTATGAACTATTAAATACCTTATTCCGAAATATAAATAAATATTCATAAATAGGAGAAACCCTTATCTATAGGTCTAGATAAAATAAATAATTAGTTTTAAAACCAAGCTAAAGTCAGGATTATATATCTGAAATAGAGAACTAGAATATAAATTTAACTATATTTTATACGTACTAGGTAATTAACCTTCTATGTATAAAGGTAAGTTCTATCTAATCTTATCTACGTTAATATATATTTATAAGTTTTAACGAGTGTTCTTTTTCTTATACTTCTACTCTAGAGTTAATTTTATAATTTAATTATAGTATATCTAAGTATTTATCCCCTATATACTTCTAAAATAACTAGTTCCATAAGTTATATAGTAGATAAAAATATAAAAAGGTATGTACTAATAATCTTAGAAAGCTAAGCTAATAACTACTAAGAAAAATAAGCTTCTATGATAGTCATATAGATCTATAAGTAATTATATTATTCATTTATACATTTATATATTTTAATATACTTTCTTTCTATTTACTTTAGATATATAATTATCTAGTCCAGCTTAAACTTAATTAGGCTTATTTCTTATAGCTACCTCTCTTTATACTTTTCTTCTAATATTTTTATTTTTAATAAGCTATAATATTAAGCTATATCATTATAACTTTGATTAAAGTTCTACTATAAAAGTTCTAATTATCGTTCACTTTAACTCAAGGCTATATTCTATATATAATACTAAATCTAGATACTAATAATTAACCTTCGGAACGACTTAATATATTTTGCTTATATTACTATTCTATCATTATTTATCAATATTATTAGATGATAATAAATTATATCAATACTTAAATTTTAAAGAACTTATAAATAGTTGATATACTATCAAGCTTTATATATTTTCTAAATAAATCTTTATTTTATGTTATTTATTAGATCTATAGAAATTAAGTACTTTAAAATAAGTCTATATACTTTAAAATAAACCTATAGGTATAGATCTATTTTTTAAGATTTTCTAGTGTTTTATTCTCAGCTAGTCACTTATATCTAATTATGTTTCATACCTAACTTTAGATTATGATTTTAATTTTCATTTCTTTAGTTTAATTAGTATTTTTAAGATCTTATTTAAAGCGAATAAATATGTAAGTTTATTATTTATCACTTTATGATTTAATATTTAATTTTCTATATAGAAATATAAAATAACTATAGAAGTGAGTTAAGTTTATAAGCTTTATTAAAAACCTTCTTTAGTTTATAGCTTTATCTTAACTTATCTATATTTCATCTACTAATTACTTATATTATCTACTTTCAGTTATCTATTCTTAGCTCTATCTATATTTCTATTATCTTTTCTAATTTCTTAAATCTATCATTTTTATCATGTCTCTATAAACTCTTGATACTATAAAATTAATAAATAGATATTAAGCTCTATTAATTAACAATATAGATAATATAGTTTATACTTAAACCTAACTCTCTAGCTACTTATTAAGTTATGCCTAAGTAACTTTAGAAACAAGAATGAATCTCTTTATATCTCTAAACACTAGTCTAATTTAGAATCGCTATATTTATATATTCATCCATAATATTAGGTAAAAAAAGATAACTCCTAGTAAAACCTTTTTTATATATCACTCGTCTAAAAACTAGCGGATCTTCACTCTAATGATATAATATTTAATACAGGCTTTTATTATATTACCTATGGGATAGAAAGGGGAAGTTTTACATAACGTCTAGACCCCGCTTTAATAATGGATATCACTTAACTCTCTCAGCTCTTGATATAGAGACATTGTGACCATTGATATAGCGGAGCTACTCTAGTCCTAGAATTTTAGTATTCTTTCACAGTAGTACTGCAGCGCAATGGAAGTTCTTACTCACCTATCGGGCGTTGTCGTTGTGCGCACCGCCTACGCCAATGACAACGACGACGCATGGTGGGCTGCTGCATTGAAGAAGCTTCATGACTATGCTACCCCATCGAATAGCGGGGCTGAGATGGATCCCGACGCATTTACGCTACATGTCATATCTGACAGTGCTCTTCTGCGCGGGGCTGACCATGCCTTAGTGCGCAAGGCCTTCAAACAGTGGATCGCGGATTTTGTTGGCCGGGAGAGCAATATAGCCGACGATGAAAACGAAGACTGGCACTCGGACGTCAGGCGCGATGTGTGCATTGTCATCGACGAAGCTGCACTGGCTTCGCTGCTAAATGCACCAGACTTTGTTCGCGACAAAGTCTCCAACCTAGACCTGGAGCCGTGGGTTACTGTAGTCGATGCTGAGGACCCAGCCAACATACCTTATCGCGGAGGGGGGCCGTACATGGGCTTCACAAATGCCTATGTGCGTGTCCTCAGCCAGCTGTTGGTTGATCTCGACTCGCAGTCTCTAGAGAAGCTGAGCCCAATTCGAGTCTACGATGGCCAGATACCGCTTTTCACTGGTTCTTCGCAGGGAAAGCTTGTGGATCCGCCTGATGGAGTGGAAGGGCGATATAAATTTCCCCGGGGAACGCCGAGGGGCGCACAGGGAGCGCAAGCTATGTTGGAAGAGATAAAGCGAGCGGTGGGGAGAGCGGCTATGGGTTGTTGATTCCGATGAGTTGGAAGGCATCAAACACAAGAGAACGGACGTGGCAGTGCAGTTTATACCTGCCCTTGTTCTTCCAATTTTGACTCGAACCTTGGATCAAACGGCCAGGATGTTACACGTCGGTAAAGGCAAGGTATCACTTTTATACTTGATTCTTCTTACAACACTAGGCTAATGCCATACAATTGATCTATGGTGATTTCTAGCTTTCTACTTCCTAGTTCTTTAACAACTCTCATTGGCGAGTGATTGTCTATAGTTGGTTCATTTGCCTGATATAGCACTTGTTGTTGTAATGCGGTTCCGCTTGCACTGTACTTAAAATCATGTACTGTGGCGTATGTTCAAGATAGCGACAGCAGAGTCCCCTGTTCGATACATGAATCGGGAGATAAAAGACCGGAAAGAAAGAGGATTGAAAGCACTCGAACCATATATTCCTTCAGTGAACACGATGCAGACATAATAGTTAATACAGAACCGACACATTAGTGAACCCTTCCTTGATCTAGCGTTTGCAGCCGTGTTCATCGGATCTAAGCAGATTGCAAACATACGACACAAGATTGATCGGCAGCATATACATACTGACATAACCATAAATAAGGAGTCTAACTACTATGCTTCGGATCGCCTTAGCTGGCAAGAGGCAGTCACTACTGATCGCATTCTAGAACTAGATACCAGCAGGGCTCTTCTCATCTGTAGAAGAGAGAATCTAGGAGGTGTTCCCTTCTGTATATGCATGATCTAACCTATAAAGCGTTAACACGAAAGTGCGCGAGACAAATTCATGTCGACATGTAGAGTTACTGCAAAATAGGAATCACGATGTGTGAGGCTACTACATAAATAAGCGCAATCTTTAAATGTTTTGCTTGGAGTATAGAAATATGTATATTGGAGCTGAGCGTTCTATCTAAATGCAGCCTATGAGCTATATGGATGGGCGGAGCATAGGACTCAAGGTAAATCCTAGCGTTTTCACTAGAATGCTATGGTTTCCCTACTTCGCATGTCTATGCTCTAGCCTTCTGAATAGCCAATTATTCACACCGTTATTATCCTTCTCATTTCCGACACTATAGCAGTCTCTGCGATCAATACTATCTCATCTTGAAAGCTAGACCTTTTGTGTCTTCGGATTTTACTCTTCCAACTGATGATAGCTTGCAAGGAATCTAGCAGCAAGTGGTGTAAAAATCTATAAACTGGAGTCGATTCTGGACTGCGCTCAGGAAAAGAACCATCAATCGAATTCGTTATTAGGAACATCTGTCCAAATGAGGTAAAGCCGACGATGAAATAAAGAGTAAAGAAGTTGATCTATTGTTTATTATGTAGCATCTCAAATCTTAGGACAATTATTCATTCTGTTGCAGGAGGGGTTATGGGGCCGGTAGCGCAATGCCTTGTTGCAATTAACTTTGTTACCATTGCCGTACAAGACTATGAGTAGATTTTTAAAGGCTTTATCCTACTTCTGGAATGAGTATCTGCATCCCCCTGGCAACCTAATCTCTATCATAGAGACTAAAATGACAGAGGTGTTGCGCTGGTTGAGTAACTCAAGCCAAGCTTCGATTCTGCCATTGAGCATTCCATGACTATCATGCCCCTCACAGTCCAATTCAAATACTGGAAGTTTAAGTTTAATGCTTTGGCGAAGACACTACTACTCTGTTATGGGAGCAGAGTGACATAGGCTTTATCAACGCTCGTGACGACGGTATCAGATGTTGTCCGCATATGAGTTTCCGTAATTGGAATGGATCTTTCTAACACTGTATAACATATCCGCACTACGAAGGCCGACTTAATCTTATTCCAATATATAACAAAGATGCTGAAAACAATCTTAAGAACCTAGAAGAAAGATAGAAAGCGAAAGGGAACCTTGCTCTTATCCACTCCTGGCTGAACCTCGACACTATCGACTGAGCGCGGCGCCGCCCTGCTCGCATCGTCGAAGAATGCGTGAAGAATACTAGGCACTAGTTGTTTCTAAGAAAAGATGCTTCTGTAAGCCGGAGAGGCATTAAGATGAGCACTCCACCGATGATATTAGTGATTGGTGAGCCAGGTTGCGGAAAGATATTCCCATCCTCAGCCGTAGTCGAGCACCTCCAGAAGAGAACGAACAGACACAGCAGATTCCTCATAAGCTTCCATAGCATTACACTAGCTACAAGCATCGACGTCCAAATCAATTGATGCACCGACTTCAAATGTGACATTTGTATCGATGATTTGGCAACTTGCCCAAGCTGACAGTCCATATCAAGATTTCCTAGTCAAAGCTTGTTAGGAAAATGTAGCAATTGATATCGTAGAGCATATCTAGCATAATCTCGTTGATAATTACGAACCAAAGGATAGAAGAACCTTTTAATAGTCATAGATGGAGTGGATAGCACAACTACCAGCTTATTACTTACATCAGTCAACGTAGCCCTGAGAAGCCATTTAACAAAGCGTCAATAAAAGGCTGGTCTACGACTTAAGTCATTTACAATAAACGCTCCTTATATCATCCAGGTTCCCACCGATGATAAAGAGGTGGTTGAGATCTCGCTTGTTCCTGGAACAGACAACAAAGACCTAGTGCCCAACATTGATGATGTCCGAGAGGGTATCAGCGAGCGCCTCCTGCAGCTGCTCATCTTTCAGAACGATACATTACTGACCGGAATGCCTGAAAGCTAATTGGTAAAACGCCAGTTTCAGAAAATGTGCCAAACTGTGTCTGGCGTCTCGATGTTTTGTTCCGCGATTTTGAGCAGTGTGTCAACCAACGGGAGCTTGACGAAATCCTCGAACAATTGACGGAAAATGTCCCAGTCAAGATTTGTAGATAGATCGAGAGATTGGCTAAGACTCTGCATTACGATGAGATACTGGTAGGTAATGCATTGTTAATGTGCGTTGAGGGGTTTTGCTCGATTGGCTATCCGTTCACTCTAGATTTAATCGAGCATAACATTGATATGTCACTCGATACACTTCGCTTCTTCACTCTCAAGACGCAGATCGAGAAGTGGTATCATACTCTCTTCATAGTGAATGCCTATAACAGCATCACCTAGCGTTACGAGATGATGAATCGACATTCAGTCGAAAGTGCTAAGGACGACATCATCATGGACGAGATTCATCAAATGCAAGGGAAATCTTACGATCGATATGGTTTTGTGGACTTCCTCGAAATCGGAACGCGGCCGGCATAAGGCTATCATGCGGCTTGACGTTGGCGAATCTCACATTAGTATCCTATATATGCCTTCTAAAGTTCTCCGCGAGTATCATCAGAGTTTTCATATCGATCGAATACGGCAATTTGCTTACAAAAATCTCTTTCGGGTTATCGAGCAGGCTGACGTTCGCAAAGCATCAGCTGAACAAATGCAGTCGATAGTAGGCTGGTTTGTGAGGCTCCCTAGAAGGGGCGGCATAATTGATGAATGGAGCAAAGATGAGTCCTTAAAGGCGATGATGGGCGTCTGCTTTCATGAGGTTCGGGAAAAGGTTGGTTCCTGGCTATCCGATCAACAGGTTCCCAATGCTTTGGAACATCGCGATGAGAAGGGCTGGCTTCAAAATATCAAAAGGCGATTCCTTTCAGGCTGTTAAGTGTTGGGACTCCACGATGGCTATATAAGGGCAGATATAAGCGGGAAAAGGTTTCTTATTTCATACCAGAAAGTACTACCGAAGATTGAACTAAGAACATCTCGACAGAGACTCTGCTGAAAGCTGCATCAAGAAAGCACAGCATGGTTGGTTACAACTAATGTGCCCTCAGTTGGAGAAAAATTTGATAAACAAGTGCATGACGGAGCTGCATACGCCCACCATAAAAGATTCAGACAGGGATTGGCTGAAGGCAAAATGTCAAGGGGTCCGAGAATCGGAGCTTTGCAACGAGTAGGCGAGGGGGTTCATCAAAAGAGACCGTGTATAACCACAGGATCCACTACACAATGTTCCTCAAGAGAACCTAATTTAAGTTCAACCTGATATATCGCCAGGATTAAGAAAGACTCCTGTTATTTCAATAGTACAGGGCTGGTTGAAATTCTCCTACTATACTTTAGTGTTTTACATCGAAACAAACTTACTAGCAGAGGGTAAAAGTAGGCGCGGCGATGGCTAATGGTAGCAACTAGCAAAACGACTAGGCAAGAGTCAAACAGGGCGCAAGAGCAGGGTGGCGTAAAGTTGTAGGGAAAGGGAGTCGGGTATTGCTTTATAACTGCACACCCCAATCGTTTCCCAAGATGCATGCGCCGCCCGCTAGCAGGGGATCATCCATCGCTCATGTCACCTTGACACACCACCAGGAAATCAAGAACCTTACGACCTTGGACTTGAATGATTGTTTATTTAACCACAAGGTCATGATGCCTAGTATCTGCCTATACTGTTCTATTCTATACTCGACTTTCTCTTCACAGAATCCGCTGTCCAGCTCGACCCGTCCGTGGCCGCCAGAAGTGCCTGGTCATGTCCCGCCTGCCCAGACCTGGGTTGGGTGCATTCAGCGTTGTGTTATACGTCGCGTTGGCTGGAGTCACGTTCATCTGGATGGTTGCGTTGCCCTCCCTATAGGTGCTCGTTGGCGTGCCCACCGTCATGTAGTCGTGACTAAGCTTCTTCTTGCCCGTCGCAACATCGACCCGCTTCAATGCGCGCTCAAACATTTCGAGCGACACGAGTGGCTGGTAAAAGGGGACCTCGTGGCCCGATTCGTAGATGCGTACAAACGAAAAGAGGCCAGACTGCCTCACCTGCCCGTGCACAATACCATCGCTGCTGCTAATGTTCGTAAAGCCGGCCTTCGAGTACCCCTTGGCCTTGATTTGATCCGCCACGACTTGACCACCCAGCCAGTTGCAGTTGTAGTCGCTGTTCAACACATTAGCAAATCGTATCCTAAGGATTTCTTTCATGATATTGTCCAAACTTACGCGTCTCCATAGTAAAGCATGACTTGAACGCCTGCAGCAAGCAGCTTCTGGCATGCCTCAATCGTGCCCGATTCGCGACCATCGTCGCCCGTGTTGCCAAATGACGAGCCGACTGTGCTAGAGCTGGTTGAGAAGTTCTGGAAGGCTCCAATTGCCTTCTGTACCTCAGGCAAGTTGAGGTAGCTTTCAAAATACGCATACGGAAACGGATCCGGAGTCAACTCTCGCATGTCGTATTCGTCCCGTCCGCTGTAGATATCGTACATGTTCTCCACCTTGGAGGCACAGAACTGATCCGCCGTCGCACACACCGAGTTGCTGCCTTCCTTGTAGCACTGCTTAATTCGGTCAACGCAGTTGCCTGGGCCGTACAAGTTGTTGAACCATTCGTCCTTGACTGTCTGGTTGTACGGATCAAAGTCGTACGTGTTGCCAGGATACACGCTATAGTTGTAATAAGCCTGATACTGAACAAGCGGGTCAAACCACCCATTGCCAATCAACACGTTGTCCAACTCAATCTTATGCGCACCAGGAATCTTTTTTGCATTCTGATCCAGGAAATAGGCGTTAAATACGGGCGCATAGTGTCCGCCATAGCTCTCCGTCGCAAAGTTGACTCCATGGCGCGAGTATTCGGGGAATGCTCCCATGAAGCCCTGCAGTGTCTTCCACATGTTTGGCGCCGCCCCTTGGGTACTGTTAGCCGTCAAGCTAACATCTGGCTTCGAATACGTTCCGCATGTTCCATATGTTGCAGCATAGTCCGGACATGTCGCGTTTGGTAGCTCAATGATGTAGGAACCGTCATTGTAGCCTGGGATTGGAATCGAGTACGAAAGACCGACTTGGGTAGGTTCATCGATGAAAAGCATATTACTAGCGTTGGACCACGAGTATGGGTTGTCATAGGGTTTCAGATCCGGTCCAACGCCACACGGCCCCAGTTCTTGAAATAGCCCAATCATGGAACTCGACCCGGGCCCTCCATTAATCCAGATCTGCAAACAGAAAGGTTAAACCAAACCTCGGCATGCGTTTGCAAATAAACAAAACACTTACTGTCAAAGGAGCCTCTTTTGGATCCTGATTACGCGACTCGAAGAACCACCAGAAAATGTGTTGGTTTTCCCCGACATCTGCGTAGCCCGAATAGCTCTTCACATCCGGGTTCATTTCACAGATACCAGCCGGTACCTGCTTGTAGCGAACGCTGACATTTGCATAGCCCTCCTTGGTGATGAGATCTGTAGGCGCAGGCACAAATTGCCCAAGCGCACCCGCTGCCAATAAAGGCGCGGCCAGTAGCTTACTCACCCTCTTCATTATGGGGCTTTTTGAATGCAGATGGCTGTGGTCACTACATGTCAGCGTGTGAATAAAAGAACAAAATCTCAAACTCTCATACCTCTTGGATACTTGGGAAAGCTTTGCCGCGATCGATGCACCCGAGGAAAAGGAAACAACTCGGTAGAGCGCAAAACAGCGTACAGGGCCGGAATATATGTATCAAGGCTATGATTTCAACTTAGTTCCGCCCTATGCATCTGGTATCGTTCCCACCTTCTCATGTCGGCTAACTGCCTGCTTATCGTTGTACTAGTAGCTAGGATCATGAGCCTTTTAGGCGGCCTAAGCTATGGTTGACATCATTTATCGACCCTATCTGCAGCGTGGATTTTGGTTAGATCCACAAACGGCAAGGAAGGGTGCAGTAACCGTTGCCCGGCAATGAGTCGCAGCCATGTGCAGCACCAAAATCAAAAAAAAACTCAAATCAAAGTGGCATAGACCATTAAATGCCCCGAACGGAAACTTGGAAAAGAAATGAAAAGCCAGCATTGATCAACTACCCCGCGCGACTCGTACACAAGCATACGACGCTGAGAGCTTGGACGAGCTTAATGCCGCCGCCAAGGACGCGTTGGCTGTATTTAAGTCGGGATCCTAGCCTAGTCAGGCAGGTACTACTGTACCTATACGAAATCCCGGCCGTTTAGCCCGGCATCCACAACCAGTCCAGCCTGAGTTTTGCCGATCCAATCCATATGCACCAGTGCTGCTGTTATCTATGCAATGACATGCGTCATCGGCCGAGCAATATCACGTTTCGGCCCTATACTTACTAGAGTAAACTCAGAGAAATAGCGCGGTAGATTTTGTTTGCGATACCAAGGAACCCGCAATATCAAGAGCTCAAATCTCTCTACTAGACCAAACGTAACTTCTCGATATCTGAGACTCATTGCAAGGCTCTAGTTAATAGAGCGAAGTATTGTCATTCCAACAATAAAGAAGCTTGTTGAGTTTCCTGTTGATGAACTACCATGTCAATTCAAGAGTTATGAATACCGTGTCGGGCTACTTTGCATGGCTTGTTTGTGCTAAGACACTAACTGGCAAAACACTAGACTCTAGATATATAGAGCTAATCTTGCTGAACCGAAATTGAACGTAAAGAATCGCTCAAGGCGATTCTTCCAAGTTCCTTCTCTGGTTGGACAACTTGCACCATGATGTGTTTGTCTTATAGTAGCCTTGATCCATGCCTAGCGTGGTACCTCTTTGCGCATTGTATGGCGCGTTTGCTTTAACCAAGGGTCCTATAACACACACACACACAATTTATTTACGCCCGGCGGCCGCGCCGAAAGGGCTACTAACGCTAGTCTAACTTTACACTTCCTATGCTACGTCTTGGTCTCCTTAGCCCATATGTTTTCTTTGGCCCCCTTCTTTATATAGCTTATTATCCAAGTCAAAGCCCTTACTTACTATCTTAGAACGCTTCTTCTCTACCTACTATTATTCCTTAT